CTGCTATGGAAAGCAAGTTTAGAACTGTAGAATGTACCTAGTTTACAATTTATAAGGTTTATTGAAGTAAAATAGAATACATCCAAAAGAGTTACAGCTAGAGGAAAAGGCTGTTTTGTCCTGCCACCTTTCTGAAACAGCAATTCAGCCAGTCCCAATCCCCTTCATTTCTTCATGTAAATCTTGGCCACTTTTATTCCAATGCAACATGTCTGCTGACTGGTTAATAGTGCTGGTGGAAATCTTTGGAATGCAAAACCCCAGGGATTATTTCCTTAAAGTTAAAAAGGGGCAGAAAAATTTAGCCACCAAACCTTAGATTCACCTCATCTAAATCTGCATATAAATATTAAAATGTTAAAGACCTAGCACAAACTCCTGTGAAGGACCCCATTTGTCACGTTGTGTCAATCTGAAAGACCCATTTGTGCATACATTCCTGCCAGCCATCCAATCTTTTAACCATGTTAGTATGTTACACTACGCCATGAGCACCTACTTTAGACAATAACCTTTTATGTGGAACTTTGTCAAATGCCTTCTGAAAATCCAAGTACTGTAAATCAACAGGCTAGAGTTCCAATAAATTGGTTAAATAGGATTTCTGTTTCAGAAAACCATATTCACTCTTCCTGGTTTACCTTAAATTTTTCCAAATGCTCAGTTATAATCTCCTTAATGATCATTTGTAAGAACTTTCCCAGAACAGACATCAAACTAACTGCCTATAGTTTCCTGTTTTTTTTTTTGCCTCCTTACCTTCTTGCGTAGCGAGCTTATTACTGTAACTTGCCAGTCGATGGAACATTTTCAGAATCTGGTGATTTTTGGAAATTAACACCAATGCATCTGCTACCTCACTAGCAAGCTTTTTAAGATCCAAGGATTTGGTCCATCAGGACATGGAGACTTAGCAACTCGCAGCTCCATCACTTTCCTCACGACCACTTTCCTAGTAATTATAATTTCACCATGTTCCTCTCTTCATTCAGTCTCCTGATCTACAGGTATTACTGGGATTTTTTGTTTCCTCTGTAGTGAAGACCAAAGCTAAATATTTATTAATTGCATTCACCATTTCTTTATCTACTGTAACTTCCCATTCTCACTCAGTGGAGAACTCCCATTCATTTTACTTACACTTTACCACTTTTTTTAATTCATGTGCGGGACTTGAGTATCGCTGGCTGGTCAGCGTTTATTGCCTGTCCCTTGTTGCCCTTGAGAAGGTAATGGTGAGCTGCCGCCTTGAACTGCTGCAGTCCACCAGCTGTGGGTTAACCCACAATGCTGTCAGGGAGGGAATTCCAGGATTTTGACCCAGCAACAGTGAAGGAACGGTGATATATTTCCAAATCAGGATAGTGAGTGGCTTGGAAGAAACTTGAAGGTGATGACATTCCCATATGTCTGCTGCCCTTGTCTTTCTAGATGGAAGTGGTCGTGGGTTTGAAAGGTGCTTTCTCAGGATCTTTAGTGAATTTCTGCAATGCACATTGTAGATTGCAGCAGTGTGTATTACTGCGTATCGGTGGTGGAAGGAATGGATGCTTGTGGATGTAAGGCCAGTCAAGTGTGCTGCTTCATCCTACATGTTGTGAAGCTTCTTGAGTATTGTTGGGACTGCAGTCATCCAGTCAAGTGGAGAGTATTCCATCAGACTCCTGACTTGTGCCTTGTAGATGGTAAACAAGCTTTGAGGAGGCAGGAGGTGAGTTACTTGCTGCAGTATTCCAAGCCTCTGATCGGCTCTTGTAGCCACTATATTAATGTGGTGAGTCCAGTTGAGTTTTTTGTCAAAACTCCCAGGTTGTTGACAGTGGGCATTTTGGTGATGGTAGCACTATTGAATGTCGTGGGGCAGTGGTTAGATTGTCTCTTATTGGTGATGGTCATAGTCTGGCATTTGTGTGGCACGAATGTTATTTGCCACTTGTCAGCCCAAACCTGGATATTGTCCAGATCTTGTTGCCTTTGGACATGGACTGCTTCAGTATCTGAGGAGTCACAAAATGTGCGGAACATTGTACAATCGTTGGCAAAAATCCCCACTTCTGACTTAATGATGGAGGGAAAGTCTTTGATAAAACAGCTGAAGATGGTTGAGCTGAGGACACTAGCCTGAGGAGCCCCTGGAGCTGAGATGACTGATCACCAACAATCATGACCATCTTCCTATGTCTAAAGTATGACTCCAACTACTGGAGAGTTTGCCCCCCTGTTACCCATTGATTCCAGTTTTTCTACGGCTTCTTGTTGCTACACCTGGTTGAATGCAGCCTTAATCTCAAGGGCTGTCACTCTGCCCTCACCCCTGGTATTCAGCTGTTTTGTCCATGTTTGAACCAAGGCTGCAATGAGCTCAGGAGCGGAGTGGCCCTGGTGGAACCCAAACTGGGTGTCACTGAGCAGGAGCTGCTTGATAGCACCTGTTAGTCACTTGATAGTCACTGTTGATGACACCTTCCATCACTTCACGAATGATCGAGAGGAGACTGATGGAGCGGTAATTGGCGGGGTTGGATTTGTCCTGCTTTTTATATACAGGACATACTTGGGCAATTTTCCACATTGTCAGGTAGATACCAGTGTTGTAACTGGCTGGACAAGCTTGGCTAGGAGAGCAGCAAGTTCTGAAGCACAAGTCTTCAGTACTATTGCTGGAATGTTGTCAGGGCCTGTAGCCTTTGCAGTATCCAGTATCTCCAACCGTTTCTTGATATCACATGGAGTGAATCAAATTGGCTGAAGATTGGTATCTGTAATGCTGGGGACCACTGGAGGAGGCCAAGATGGATCATCTACTCAGCACTTCTGGCTGAAGATTGCTACGAAAGCTTCAGCCTTATCTTTTGCACTGATGTACTGGGCTCTCCCATCATTGAGGATGAGGATATTTGTGGACCCTCCTCCTCCAATGAGTTGTTTAATTGTCCACCACCATTCGTGACTAGTTGTGCCAGAACTGCCAAGCTTCGATCTGATCCGTTGGTTATGGGATCACTTAGCTGTGTCTGGCACTTGTTGCTTTCACCATTTGGTGTGCAAGTAGTCCTGTTTGGTGGCTTCACCAGGTTGACACCTCATCTTCAGGTATGCCTGGTGCTGCTCCTGGCATACCCTCCTGCACTCTCCATTGAACCAGGGTTGATCCCCTGGCCTGATGGTAATGGTTGAGGGGGGGATATGCTGGGCCATGAGCTTACAGATTGTGTGCTGGAGTACAATTCTGCTGCTGTTATGGCCCACAGTGCCTCATGGATGCCCAGTCTTGAGTTGCTAGATCTGTTTGAAGTCTGTTGCATTTAGCACGGTGATAGTGCCACACAACATGATGGAGGTTGTTCTCAGTGTGAAGGCGGAACTTCGTCTCCACAAGGACTGTGCGCTGGTCACTCTTACTGATAGTGTCATGGACAGATGCAACTGCAGCTGGCAGATTGGTAAGGATGAGGTCAAGTGTGATTTTCCCCCACCCAGAGTGCCCTTGCCATCCTTAGGGTTTCTTCCAAGTGTTGATCAACATGGAGGAGAACCAATTCATCAGCTGAGGGAGGACAGTACGTGGTAATCAGCAGGAGGTTTCCTTGCCCATGTTTAACCTGCAGCTATGAGACTTGGGGTCCGGAGTCAATGCTGAGGACTCCCACGGCAACTCCCGCTTGACTGTAAACCACCGTGCCAGCCCCTCTGCTGAGTCTGTTTTGCCGGTGGGACAGGACATATCCAGGGATGGTGATAGT